TAGAGAGCAAGCACTCCCATGTGCTAGTTCTACAAATTATTTTTACCCTCAAAGTAATCAAATTTCATATATAAATACTGCTCTGATTTCAAAGTTGAGGAAATTAAGGGACACATATGGGTCTCTTATAGGTAAACTAAGTAACAGTGTTGTGCAGACTTAATATACGAGTGTCAGAAACCATGCCTGCCCATCCTAAATTGTTTCCTGCACAATGATTTATTTTCTTCTGAATTCACTGTGGTTATAAAACTTAAAAATAATCCATCTCATATATTTTTATGACAAATTGTATTGTTACATAATTGTAACATTTTAACACCCTCCCAAGGGATTCTTTCATGGCAGCACATTTTCAGCATTGTTGTAGGCCTCATATAAATAAAATTGTATTTTTAAAATCAAGATTTTATTAATGCTATGCTTTCTAAAGTTTAAGTTCAGTTTTCAAAAGTCTAAGTCACTTATTAAATGATTATAATTTAGCTGTCTTTCTTTCATACAAATGTGGCATTTTCACAGTTTACAAGAAGGAAGTTATGTGTGTGTATTTAATTGATATCCTCTTTCTTCTTCATTCATTTTTTTTTACCCTTCTCTCACTACCCTACAATTATGATTTAATTTGAATAGAAACACTTTAAGGGGAACTAATAAACAGGTGACAGTGAGTTCTAAGATCATTTACTCTTTCTTTAAATTCATAATAGTGGTGGGAAATAGTACATGGTTTTATATGAATCTACACGATTTTCTTCTTTATTTACTGTATTCAAAAATTCCTTGTCTAAAAGATGTATCCTACATTTTCTCTAGAGCAGTTATTACATTTTTGTTAAAGAATTCATTTTCCTAATCTGTTACATAGCCAGTAATGGGAGCTTTTACAGAAAGAACTCACTGTAGAAATTATGTGTTTTAGTTTCCCAAACCTAACCTCCAATATATCAAAGAAACGAAAAGAAAAGAAAATTACTTTTTAGTTGTACATCTGGAGAAATTATTATTCTGAAATATGTGACTCACCTCCATGCATGTTAAGCTTTAATTAAAAAAAAATGCCTGTATATTCAAAAAGGGAAGAAATTCAGTTTCTAAATTCTAGATATTACAATTTATTTTAGTCATCTCCCTAAGTTATTTAACAAGTTAAATGACCTGCTTATTTATTGTAAATGTGCTTATACCAATATTGTGGCACATTTTTTTCTGACCATAATTTTCCCGTTCGATGCAAAATCAAAGATTGATTGTAACAAATATCTTTAAGGAATTTAGTCCACATTACATAGAACTTCAGGCATTTCATGAGATCTTCAAAATATAGTGGGAATTTGATAATCACTTTAAGTCTATCCATCTTTCACAATCAGTTTTTCTATTAATATTTGATTACAATGGGAAGCATTTCACTCCACCTACATAGGACCAATTAGCATTGCCAAGAATGAGCCTCCAAGTAGAGTTTCTGCAAACCTGACATTTTATTATGAGACACAACTAGATTTGGGGCTTTTTCACTAGATAATGTACCTGGACAGACACTCTAGATTTGAAAAATGAGTCTATCATCTGTCAGAGTGTGAAATCAGAGTGGCCAATGTTTTTCTTCTATTGAGCATAGTTGAACAAATTTTCTGAGAATATTCACTGATTTCTGGGCAAAATTGAGATTATTGTCTGGAAGGAAATTCTATCCCATGGACCTTTCTTGAAAATGAACCAATGTTTCTCCACTTATGCTTTCTTCAATGGAGTCTGTCATTTCAGAGTGTTATTAATATCAAAATATCTTTACTCTTTTTGCTTTTCAAGTTTCAGAACTTAGTGGGGTTTTGAGAGTTACCATGTGATAGATTATTTACAAATCTTTTGGATGGTGATGTAGATGATATTTTTCTATTTCTTGCAGAAAATAATGTTAACAAATGAAACTACTCAGAAACTGATCTGATCAATATTTACTGCAATAAAAGTAAATATAAAGCTTCTATAGTTTTACTTTGACTTCTTTAGATAATCAATGCAAACAAATTCTGTCACAAATGATAATTATATTGTTCATAAACAAAATGCTAATATCTAGCATAATGTCAGACGAGATAATAGTATACGCCAAATAAATATTGATGATTGGAGTGATTGGTGGCTGTATTGCTGATGAAGCAATTATTTTCTCTCATTTATAGGATCATGTTAACATAAAATCATGATTTGAATGATTTATATAGAAGCAAAACTTGAATGAGAGTGGGAAAAACAGAAACTGACAGTCCTTTCTTATTTTATATTGCTCTACTGTGGACGATGCAACTAATTGAACTCTGTGCATGGTGTTTTTATTTTTGTGTGTGTGCTCCTTTGGCCCACTCATATTACTTTTGTCCAACTAAAGAGACATATTTTCAGAAATGTCTTTATATATTTGCAAACACAAATGCAATGCAGATATGGATAATGGCATTTAGTGTCTATAATAAGAAATTCTATATTTAATAGAAATTAGGGGACCAAGATGAGTCTTTTGATTGACTTCTCACTTTTTCTCCAGCACGGAGTTTGAACAAACTAAACAAGTTCACCATGTCCACTCTTATCTAAAACTGTCACAGTTACAACTGGAGAGAGAAAAAAATTTCTTCACCTTAATTTCTAATGGAAACCTAGGTAGGAGGAATATAACATTAGACTTGAAAGAATCTCTGATCCTAAAACTCTTAAAGTCATATCTCTTTAATTGTAATTCCAGATGCTTGTATCTATCCAGCACAAAGTGGAAGCAAAAGTAGTTGCATTACAAAGAATGTGACATAACTTTCAAATCTGCATATAATGCATTGAGGTTTACTGACAATCGCTGAAGAAGTTTCAGTAGTTGCACTGGTCCAATGGTCCAATGGAAGATTTTTACCCATATAAAAGAACTTTCTATTATCCATTGCTCTCTTTATCTTTAATAGGTAAAGGGAATGACTCAATTTCTGAAAGATAATATTCCTGGGTAGATCTTTTCTGTTACAAAACAAATATTCACTTTTTTGTAAGTCTTTTTATTCTGCACTCTAAGAGATAAAATTGACTCATTCCTATAGAAACATCCATTGAGTGGTGTCCATGGAGGTATGAAGTGATAATTTTTAGTTCTTGCCCCTTTTCTCTTCTATTAAAAATTCTTTTTAACACCACTTCAGTGGAGTTTAAAGCAGTGGTTAAAATACAAAGGCATGGGTAAGCAATCGATAGTTCAAAAAAGTTATGCTTTCTGAAAATATTTTTCCTCCTGTGATCAATGATGTCTTCCAGATTTTACAACTGGCTGATGGCAACTCTGTACCAAAGTGTTTCTGGCAAGTATTCACTGACTTTTGACAGTCTGTGGGAATTGAAATTGAAAAAGGGTGCTTTATAATCCATAAGAACTGCTTCACTGCATTATTTTATAGGAGGGGGGTTTATAGCACAAGACTGCTGTTTTTCCCGTTAGTCATCTGTGTTTTTCTTCATTTGCTAGATTTTACCCAATTTACAGTTCATGTCTAGACAATGCATCCTTTGAAATCAATAAGAAGTAAAGCTCAAACAAACATGCTGAATCAGCCATATTAACACCATTCTAATTATGCAGTGAACACACAGTATTACTTACAGTAAACCTAAGACCTAACCATAACATTAAAAACTTACAGTCTACTCTGGGCAAGTCTCCATAAAAATTTATGTATCTAAAAGGCAAATGTTTCTCCATTGCATAACACTGAAACACATAACTGCTCCTATTTAGCTCTCCCTAAACATCATTATATATTTAGATGACCAATACATCTTAATTGTGCCAGTAAAATCAGCGAGAGGACTGATTCTGCAGAAGGATAGGAAAGCAATTACTTCTGTGGACTAAATACCTGGAAACCATGCATAGGTTAAAGTGTGGGGAGAGCTCCGGAGAGCTCCGGAGAAGAGGTTGAGATTCATTATTGAAATAATCTAAACGTGAAAAGAAAAACCTCTGTTCTCCCTAGACTTCTGAATTTTTATTACTTGTAATGTTTCCCTGTTTTAAAGTAGTTATCCATATTTCTGCTTATTTATTACAGTTTTCTGATCGTGTCCGTAGTGTCTGCGTATGTGTTTGCCTAATGTAGTATTGATAGCAGCAGTGTGTGTTTTGTGTACGTGCGCATATGTATGAAGAAGAATTAATTACATATTTAGAACATCTGCATTAACGGGCGTCTGCAGTCCTCTCTAGCGGCTCCAGTCAGTCGGGATGTTTTGCTGTCACTTGGTGTTAGGACCACTCGGAAGATCTGCCTGTTGGAAGCCTGATTGTGGTTCCCGGGGGGTCGGAGATCCGAGAGCCTGTACCATCTCCATCTGAAGGGGAGGAGAGAAGGGAAAGAGAAAGCATCCGAGAGAGGAGGCTCTCCTTCCCGCGTCTGAGTCTAGGATAGCCAGATTGGATGGCGAGGTTCTAAGATTACAAGGCAAATCCCCAACTTCAGCACCGCGGACAGCATCACCTCCCTCCCAGCCAGAGACTGGCGCTTGGTCCTCGGCCCCCGCCCCAGCCGCTGGCCCCCCCAGCCCGTCGGTGTCTTCTCCTTTTTGCTTCCAAACGAGGAGAGGGCAGGGCAGAAAGCTAGACAGCTAGAGGGGTACGGTAAGGAGGAGGAGGACCAGGCGGAGGAGAAGGAATAGGAAGAGGAGGAGGAGTAACAGAAGGAGGAGAAGGAGGAGCCAGGGAGGGGACAGAGAAGAGAAGAGGAGGGAGGGCTTCCCTCCGCCGCGTTGGCCAGCGTTTGCAGGCTCGGTGGCGGCCGCGGCTGCGTCCTCAGGTCCAGCGGTGACGACGAGATGCTTCCCCGCGCGGCGCGGCGCTGAGGCTGAGGCCGAGCGTGCGCCCGGCTGTGCGGCGCCCTCCGCACAGACACAGTCCCTGCCTGTGAGCCGGCAGGCGATTGGAACCCCTCTGAGTCACGCTGCCCAGTGGCGACGGGAGCGCACGCCCGCAGTGGCCACGGCAGCAGTACCGAGGTCTCTGTCTCTCTCCTTTGCATTCTGCAGCCTCCGCTCTTCCGATTCTTCCCCTACGTCCCCTGGAGATTTTTTTTTTTTTTTTTTTTTTTTTTTTTTTTTTTTTTTTTTTTTTTTGTAAGAGGAGAGGGCGGGGTAGGTGTCAGTCTCCTCCTCCAGCTCCCCCCCACCCCCCGTTTGAATTTCTTCCCTCCGGCATTTCACTGGCTCCCAGAGCTAGAGCCCAGACCTGCGCGGGGCGGAGAGCAAGGTTGAGACCCTCCTGCTGCTGCTTCAAGCCTGCAAGAGCTGGAGGCTGGAGGGGAGAGAGGGGCCAGGAGAGAGCAAACAGGAGGGACTTGGCTTTTGCTCGCTTCTGAGGACAGCGCGTGCCCCTTGGAGAACCCCACGGAGAGACGGACAGCATCTCCGCAGCGAGCTTGTGGAGTACCGCGGGCCGGCAGGCGAAGGATGCTGGAGGCTCGGCGAGCCGGCTGCAGGGCAGCGCTCTCCCTCTGGATTGTCAGCAGCTTCCTCTGCAGAGCCTGGACGGCTCCCCCCATGTCCCGTAAGTAACCCTCGCCGCCAGACCGCGCTGCACCCCAGCGGGGTCAGTGCCGCATTGATGTTGCACAGCAGGGTAGCAACTCTGAGTTGCAAACGCAGCTCTCGCCCCTTGATTCGTGTGCTTCCCCCGGTCGTCACGCACCGGGAGCCACTGCAGCAGAGCAGCTCCAGATCCTGTGCGCTCCTGGTCTGGAGAGAACAGGGCTTTGACGCGACTGATGTTTCTGGAAAGTTGTTCTGGTCTTGGCGATTGCTTGGCAAGTGCTGGGTTTCAGCTATGGGTGTAGACAGCGCCTTCCTGAGAGTTGTTTTGTGCAGAAGGAGCTGATGGCTTTTGGCTTAGAAAGATCAGTGAAGGAAAAGTGGAGACCATGACAGAAAGAAGTTTCTTGTTTTTATTTATGGTATTCGCTTACACGCGCTGGAGTTTGAGGATGAAAGGGGTACTATTTTTTAAACAGTGTGGGCTTCTATAGATTCTTCGAGCCTCATGTATCTTCTCAAAAAGTTAATGTCTGTTTAGTATATGCTCATGGAAATGAGAGACAACAGTGTCCCTGAAATTGCTGGAATTGTTTGGTTGTTTGAGAGATAATGTGTTATAACCCACGGAATTCAGGGCTTAGAGTAGTCACGGCAAGATAACATTTATGTAGAAGTTAACAGATTTTTTTGAAAGAGATTTCAGGAAAACGAAGCTGCTCAAAACGCGTATCTGTGGCTTTCAATTTTTTTAAACTAAAGACTTACCATGTTTCCTATGAGATTTAGAAGATTCGAAGATTCCATTTATTCTCATTGCTTTATAGAGAGATGGGATTCATGGTTGTTTCTTTGGCTCTGAAAGAGTTAAAAAACAGAAAGATTCCTCGAGTTCCTTTGGACAGTATTCATAAGCACGTTTGTTTCTGAGAAGAAGTAAGGCGGTGATGTATTACATTGAGATTTTCGGAGTTGCAAATAGAAGTGATTTCCATTTAGGAAAACAAGTTTAATAGCTTCAAGAACTCACCCTGCACAAAGTAGCCCTGTCTCTGTTTATAAGAACTGTGGATATATTAATACACCTTTGGCTATATTTTAATATTAAAATTCCCATTCCAGTGTATAAATATTAAAAACACTTTGGAAGTTGTAGTAAAATATGATCCATAAAAATGTGTCTTTACTAATATTTTGACATATTTCTCAAATACTTGCAGGATTAGTTTTTTTATATTAAGTTTCATTTCTTACAATGCTTAAAGACATAAAATCTAATGTAATGAACTTGAGAAAAAACTTTACTTTCAGAACTCAAGTAAAAAAGCATAGAGTTATGTATTTTTAAGACTCACATTAATTCCATTGACTGAAAGAGAAATTATGATGATATTATGCTTGATATTGATATTTACACAAATATAAACCTTTATGCCTAAGTCAATTCAATGAAATTTCAGTTCCATTTCAAAGTCTAGGTATAGAACACTTGCTACCAATTTTCCTGGAAAATAAAATGCATTTTAAGTTGGGTTTATTAGAGTCATAAATGAAAGGCCCTGGTTTCTGGCTTTTTTTTTTTTTTCTCTAAGACTTTGGTTCATCTTTCTTATAATTTGATTGTAATGAGTTAATTGAACATTCACTAGTTATCAAGATTGGCAGTTACTGTGTTAATACATTTCAAATATGGAAAATTATTATTTCAGAAACTTATTTATTTTTTACTACTTGGAATTTGGTGAAAGAGAGCAGCATAAAAAGAATTACTTTTAAAGTAGTCACATTTGGTTATTAAGACTCATTTTGCTTTTGTTCACCATCATTTAAAAATGTAAAGTAACCTAACTGAGATGGCTTTTAATTTCAATTGAATTTAAACTGTGTGACCAAATGACAGAGTTGCTTTATATCATGGAAATGAAATAAATTGCAAGAATGATATAGAACTTTACTGATTAGAATGAGCTTCATGTACTCAATACTTAGAATTTAAAATACTTTTGCACTTATAAACATTATTTTACATTATATGTAGCTCTAAAGAACAGTCTGATCATTATATTCTTAAAACTGAAAACATTCAATGAAGAAAAAATTAACTACATGAATCTAAGATAATAAACAACTCAACCAGGAGAGGTCATCACAAGACAAAAAGTAGCGTTAAAATGTAAAAGTAACATTTTTATTTGGTTCATATTTTCAAAAGATGATGACTCTGCCAAAGCGTCCTATTCTCACATCACTTTTTATTGCAATAGAAAGTTTTAAAAGATCGTGTTTATAGATATAAATATATAATTTCATTTTATAGAAAATACATCTGAAATACATAACTGCTTGTGGCTTGATCTGTTTTTCTCTTCTTGAAATGTGTGTAGAAGATGATGATACTGTATTTTGTACAAGTTGACGTAGAATAAAGCCTAGGATGCTCATCTCTTGGCTGAAATCTGCATTTAATCTATTTCTTTGCTATAGAGAAAATGAACAGCTGCTAAGTTGCCAGAGTCATCTACCTTCCATTCCTGTAAATATATGTTCATAGGCACACATAAGAGGCTTAACGGGCGCGGTGAGTTTATAGGAAGTCCTAGGAAGTTGCATTTCCTGGATCACAGTAGAAAGATCTTGACAGTAAATACCAAATGATAAGTGTGAACTGCCATTTACTAAGTTCAGTTCTTAGTATTATTGAATACCTACTTGAATAATTATACTCTCAAAAAGGTCAATTTCCATTATTTCCTATAACTATGAACCTATTTATTTGCTATCAGATTTGGGACATGCATTTTCTACTGATTCAAATAATTTCTAATAAATGTGCTTATATATGGTATGTATATAAACATACATGTGTACTCAGGAGAATGCATATGAAAGTGAATACTGTCAGTTTATCTTAAAAATGAGTGCAGTAATGGATTTGCATTAACCAAAAACATTAAGTGTTTTTTTAAAAAGTGACTGATAAAATGAACTGGTGGAGAATGGATGGTGTGCCACTTAGGTAATACTAATTAGCAATAGGAAATTTACTATTATCTATATATGTATGTACATAATCTAGAATTTACTCTAGGTACTGAGATTCAGAAAAAGGGATTTTTTTTTGAAATTTTACTCTTTTATTATCAGCATATGACAAAACTAATGCCAACAGGATGGAACAAAGTAATTCACGTGCGTCTAAGATTCCTTAAGTATTGATCTGAGAGCTGGTTTAATTATTTTTTGTTGCTTTTAAAGTTAGGCATTACAGCACATAATAAATTAAACTTCAAAACTATAGTGCCCAGTGAAGTACATTTTTTTTTATTTCTATGTATGTTATTACCTGAACTTGAAATGTGTTTTCAGAAATATATACTTTTTAAGATAATTGGTTTTCAGAAACTTAAAGTTTATCTGTGTAATTATCTAATACTAGTCTATAGGAAGAAATTATCTGTTTTTATTTTAATAAGCAAAGATAATCGTGGGATGGCTTAAGATAGCCTTTAAAATTTTAAATAAAAACTTAGATTATTTCTAACTGAGTGATCAGGTACTGAATTTTCCCATCTCCTCTCATCTACCTGACCTGTGCATTTCAGCTTTGACCAAGTAAAGATGCCGGGGATGTGGAGCTGTTACTCATTTGTGTACCCTAATTATTCCTTTTACGTGAAGGAAACTGTGTTGGTTACACTCTGCCTGTACAGCAATAGTTTATTCACTTCCCCCATGTCAGAGAGATTCATCCTTTAGTTATCTCTGGGAGATTCACCTGTATATGCAAAGTTCAGCCTCTTTTCTTTCACTCCAGCCTGCCTGCAGAAAATCGTGATTCCGCAATAGCAGGATGTATACAACTAGGCTCTATTTCTGCAAGAAGAATGATTGTGCAAAAAAACAACAAAACAAAACAAAACAAACAAGCCAACAAAAAAACTTAAGTGCTGAGTTTTCCTGGGACTAGCAGCCTGCTTCTTTTGAGAATTATAGATAACATATTCCATTGTCCTCACACATTTGAACTCCATCCCTCTGTATTAAGTATACCTACAGAAAGGGTACTGCTCTCTCCCTGTGTGTGCATGCCTTTCTAATTTGAAAGGAGCACTATTTATTGTGCTCATGAAAATCTTAACCATGTATTACAATTTTCTCTAATTACTATTTTCCTAAATGAACGTACGAGAATTTCTACATATTTCCGAAACAAGTGGGGCCAGGAATATAGCTCAGCAGCATGACACCTACCTGCAAGCGTGGGATTCTGAGTTGAATTCCTGATTCTAAAAAGCAAAAAAGAAAAGAAACAAGTAATGCGTATGATTTGCTCCTTCCTCACTCTTTTACTAAATAGGAGAACTTGAGTTATCCCTGTCCTCCAAGTGTCCCCACTCGTTTCTTCCTTCGCTCATACTCTTGCGTGGTCTTATTAGGCATACTCATTTTAGACAGATGCATTTCCTTATCTTTCGTTAATGATGCCGCTACTCTAAATATATCCTGGTTATAAAGTCAGGACTACACATCCTGTTCTACCCTAGCCACATAAATATTAATACGTTTTCAAGTTACCAGCCCTTGTTCTGCCCATGGCAGCATGAGAAGTTTGTGCTGTAAGTTAATTATCCTAAACCATAGACCACATCTACACTCTGAAATCAAATTTGGTTGTGGCCTTAATTGCAAATTTTGTAAAGAGATCTTGCAAAACTGACTTAGTTCATTTAGGGGGTAGGCTTTGCATAATAACAGCTTGGAGCAACTGACTTTTCAAAACCAGCACTCCAGATTTTCAAACCTCCCATGATAGTTGGAAATCTGGAAATAAAGATGTATTTGTTGGCTCTGGGTCTACTTGTGGAAGATAATGTATTTCTGGTATACTGTAAATGTGTTGGAGAAATGTGAAAGAGCTCCTGAGGGCCATATTCTACATTTTCCTTATGATTTAAGTTCGAAAAGTCTTCATAAATATGAATAGTGATATGTTTTCTAATGTTTTCCTGTTTAAAAATG